GGGGGGGCCTGACCCGGGACCAGCAGCAACAACAATAACAGCAGCAGCGGCATCGACGCCAGTACGGAATACACGATCAGCAGCAGATGCTTGAATATACAATAGCAGCACAAATAAGCGACAGCAGCAGCAAGTGCCGTGCAAAACGGACAAGCAGCCGCAATGCCAGCAGCAGCAGTAGCAGCAGCAGCAACAGCAGTAGCAGCAGCAGCAGCAGCTGACCGTTCGTCTGTCTGTTCCAATATTGCAGGCCTTCACCCAATGCCGCCAGCGCAGGAGAGCAAACCTCAAAGATCCACCATGGCGCCGCGGTGCTCCTGCTGCTGCTGCTGCTGTTGCTGCTGCTGCTGCTGTCTCCTGCTGCAGCTTGCTTCTGTATAGAGCAGCGGACACATATGCACCCTGCAGCGCTTATTCAGCTGCACGTACTCGGAAGAAATGTGACTAATGTGTTAGGCTAGAACTGCAGCAGCTGCAGCAGCAGCCTTGACGGCAGCAGCAGCAGTAGCAGCAGCCAAGCCAGCAGCAGCAGCAGGCGGAAGATCCATGATGCCTGAGTCTTACTTGCTTCCTGCGGCTTCGGTTTGCTGCTGCTATGTTTTGTTGCTGCTTGTGCACGGCAGCTGCTGCTGCGTCAATAGCAGCAGCAAGGTCTGCTGCTGCGTCCTGCAGCAGCCCTTCTGCTGCTCCTGCTTCCCCATAAGAGCGCAGCAGCTCCGTGACAATGAGGGCATACAGTCGGGCCCCTCCTGCTTCTTGCGTTGTCAGTGCTTGTGGCTGCTGCTGCTGCTGCTGCTGCTGCGGCTGCTGCAGCAGCAGCGGCCTGGAAAAGCGAAGCACCTGCAGCACCTGCTGCAGGCATTCCCGCAGCTGCTGCATGTCATGCTTCAGCGCCCAGCAGCAAATGAAGGAAACAGCAGCAGCTTCCATTCTCCAAATGTAGGAACGCTGTGGCAGCGCCAGTGCTGCTGCTGCTGCTGCTGCTTCATCCTGCTGCTGCTGCTGCTGCTGCAGCGTTGATGCACTGCTTGAGCCCCACACAGCAGTCGCGTGGGTCTCGTCTATGTGCCCCCCGTAGAACTCCACAAAAGCTTTGCCCGCAGCGGGTTCCTGCTGCTGCTGCTGCTGCTGCTGCTGTTCCTGCTGCTGCTGCTGCTGCTGCTCGTCAAACTGTGCTGCAGCAGCAGTCACGATGTTCACTGCAAGCAGCGCCAGCTGCTGCAGCGCTGCTTGTCTCTTTTGCGCCTCCGCCAGAGAGAGGCAGCTGACAGCCATGGTTAGCAGCTCCAGCTGTCTAGACACTTCAAACGAAGCCACCCCCACGCTGCTGCTGCTGCTGCTGCTGCTGATGGCAGCAGCGAGGCGCGCCCCAGTGGCGCGCAGCTGCGGCAGGACGGCCTGCAGCAGCGCCGCAGGTTTTGCTGCGGTGAGAAGGGTAGCAGCAAGCGCATGCATGGGGTCTGCTGGCAGCCGCAGCAGCAGCTGCTGGCGGCGCCGCTGCTGCTGCTGCTGCTGCGTCTGCTGCTGCACCCCCAAAGCCTGCAGCAGCAAACTGTGCTTCTCATTTTGTGTAAATGCTTCTGCTAGTTCCGACGCATCCCCTAAGCAAAGAAGTCGCAGCTCCGGCGGCCGCTGCAGCTCCGCGAGGAGACAAAGCTGCGGCTGCAACAGCACTTCCCGCTGCAGTTGCTGCTGCAGCTCCACTTGCTGCTGCTGCTTCTGCTGCTGCTGGCTCAGGAGGAGGCTGCCGTGGCGGCCACAGAGACACACAAGGGCCCACAGCCCTGCGTGCAGAGCCTCTTGCATGCGCAGCAGCTCGGCAGCAGAACTGCCACCTGCTGCTGCTGCTGCTGCTACGGCTGCTGCGGCTGCTGTAACCGCCTGAATAGCAGCAAGAACAGCAGCAAGCAGCTGGTTAATGCGACAAGCAAGGGCTCGCTCCACGCGCTGCCCCAAAGCCACCAGCAGCTTGCAGCTGTCCACCATGCCCTGCAGCAGCATGTCGTGCTGCTGCTGCTCCTGCTGCTGCTGCAAGGATGCAGCAGCAGCAAGAGACTGCAGCACAAGGGGCACAGCGTGAGCGACGAAAGGTCCTGGGACTTGTGCTGCAGACAGCAGTGCCAGTGGGGGCATCAGCCGCCACGCCTGCCGATGCGCTGCTGCTGCTGCAGCTGCTGCTGCTGCTGAGGTGGGGCTGCTGTTGCCGTTGCTGCAGCAGGCCTTCATGAGACGCAAGAAACTGTTGTAGACGCCCAAAAGCTCCTCGCGGCTCACAGATGAACTCTGCAACAATTCCTGCGAAGCAGGAGCAGCAGCAGCAGCAGCAGCAGCAGCAGCATAGCCATAAGTGCCCGCGGAGAACAGGCGTAATAATCACCAGCAGCAGCACAGCCAACAGCAACAGCGCGACGCTGCAAAGCCGCAGCAGCAGCAGCAGCAGTAGCAAAACAGCAACAAGTACGGCCAGCAAGTAGCAGCAGGAGCACCAACAGCAGCAACGGAGCAGCAGCAGCAGCAGCAACTCAAGCCAAGCAACAGCCGCCACAGCAGCATCTGAGCAGCAGCAAAACTCACTCTCCATCCTCGGCCTCCCACGGAAACCAAATCAGCAGCAGCAGCGCGTTGCCTCTTCGTTCGCTGCTGCTTTTGCTGCTGTTGTTGGGCCCTGTCTGTTGCTGCTGCTTCTGCTGCAATAACTGTCTTTGCTGCAGCAGTCACCTTGCGCTGCAGCAGCAGCAGCAGCCGCTGCGCACCCACGGCCTCCAAGCCCTGCACAAGCAACAGCAGCTTGTTGTCCTCTTCTGCTGCTGCTGCTGCTGCTCCCGCTGCTGCTGCTGCTGCAGGCCCGTCCACAGCCATCGCCTCGCTGCTCCCCACCGGGACATCCCAAACGTCCAGAGCCAGCAGCAGCGACCCGAATTCTGGAGAGCACCCCCTGCAGCAGCAGCAGCAGCAACCGCAGCAGCAACAGCAGCAGCACAGATGATCCCCTTGAAAACACAACGACCCCGTGGAGCCTCAGGTGCTGCTAAATGCTCTAGCTTGCCCTCGCCTCAGCTGCTGCTGCCGCTGCTGCTGCTGCTGCTGCTGCTGCTCACCTCAGGGCGTGTTCAAGGGCTGCGTCTGCGCAGTCGAGCAGCAGCTGCTGCCGCCGCAGCAGCAAACGCGCTGCTGCACCTCTTAGCTGGAGAGGAAGCTTTTCTGCTAACAGAGTCTGCGTGCAGGTGTACACACACCTCTAGCAGATGCAATGAAGAGCAGCAGCAGCGGCAGCAACAACAACAATGGTAGTAATAATGGCAGCGACAGTAGCGCAGCACTGAGGCTCACCAGATACAGCAGCAGCAGCAGCATAGCACCGACGCATATGCAGCACCAGTAGAACTAACAGCAGCAGCACGAGTAGCAGCAGCAGCAGCGCCATTACCAATGGTCTTACCCGCAAAGCCAGCAGCGCGTTGACTGCTGCTGCTGCTGCAGCACGCGTTTCAGAAGCAGCAGCAAATGCATCCTTGCCGCCGCCGCAGTACCTCCATACCTCAGCAGCAACAGCAACGCAGCTAATTGCTGCCCGTGTTGCTACTGTAGCAGCAGCAGCAGCAGCAGCTGGTGCTGCTGCTGCTCCTCTTGGCTGCAGCTGCGATGCCCACAAAGTGTGGCACGGGGTGTACGTACACCGCAGCAAATCTCTGTTGCGCTGCAGCAAACCATTTGCAGCAGCAACAGCGCCTGCACCCTTGAACTCTGCTGCTGCTGCTGCTGCTTCTGCTGCTGCGCCGGCAGGCCCAGCAGCAGCAGCAACAAGGGCTACAGACTGGCACTGCAGCAGCAGCGCGAAGCCGTACATCCTCGCCGCTCTCTGCTGCAGCAGCGCCGGCTGCTGCTGCAGCTGCTGCACCAGCAACTCCTGCAAATTGCGGAATGTTTGTTCTCGTGTCTCCCACTGCGTGCTGCTGCTGTTGCTGCTGCTGCTGCTCTCTTCAGCTTCTTCAGCATCTTCAGCTGCTGCCTCCTCGTCGTCAGTGTCTTGCTGCTGTCGCTGCTGCTGCTGCTGCTGCTGACGCATCAGTCTCTTTCGCGCCGCAGCAGCACACTCCCACTGCAGCAGGAGCGCAGCAACGCAGCCGTCTAGGGAGGAAGCCCCTGCTGCTTGAGTCAAAGCTACTGCAGTTGGCAGCAGCTGCTGCCGTGCTGCTGCTGCTCTTTGCTTCTGCTGCAGCGTTTCCTGGAGTGAGCAGTCAAAAGCAGCAGCAGCAAGAGGCGCCAAGCAGCAGACAGACATCTCCGCAGCAAAGGCCCCTGTCCCGCCGCTGCTGCCTTCTTCCTGCTGCTGCCCTTCCTCCTCTTCTTGCTGCTGCTGCTGCTGCTCCTTTGCTGCTAGGCTGTGCAGCATTGCGCACGTAGCACTGAGGGAGGAGCGCTGCAGCAGCAGCGAGGGGTCTTTGCTGCAGCAGCTGTTGACGAACTCGAGCAGCAGTTGCCGTATCACTACGAGCTTCTGCTGCTGCTGCTGCTGCTGCTGGGCCTGCAGCATATCTGCTGCTGCAGTGCAGCAGCGGAGAACAGCAGCGAAGGTTGAAGCATCTAAAAGCTGCTGGTGCTGCTCCGCGACGTCCATGCAGCGCTGCTGCAGAAGACGCAGGAGCTGCTGCTGCTGCTGCTTCTCCTTGCTGCTGCTGCTGCTGCTGCCCTGCATAAGCAACCGAGACCTGAGAGCAGCAAACTGAGCGTTGCAGCAAGTGAAAAGCTGCGCTGTCACGCGGCGAACCCGACTTGCTGCCGTTGCATCTGCTGCTGCTGCTCTTGCCACTGCTGCTGCTTTTGCTGCAGGCAGCAGGCGTTCCAAGGCAGCGAAAATGTGCTGCAGCACCTGCAGCATCGGCGCATAGCTCTGCTGCAGCAAAAATGAGGGGCGCGTGAGCTGCTGCTGCAGCATATCCCCCAGAATATCGGACAAAATGACATCGGCCCCGCTGCACCAGCAAATGTTGCTACTGTTGCTGCTGCTGCTGCTGCTGGTGTCGGTCTGTCCCCTTTGTGCCTCAGCAGCAGCTAGCCGTTTGCTGCTGCGGCGCGGCGTCGACCCCGCTGCTGCTGCTGCTGCTGCTGCTCCAGGGCTGCTGCGGCTCACAGCAATCTCGTCAGCAAGCTGCTGCAGCTGCTGCGGCGGCAGCGGCGCCGAGTCTGCTGCAGCAGCAACAGCACTGCTGCGCAGCACTGCAGCAAGTGCAGGGCATTTTGCTGCTGGGGTGGCAAGGCGCAGCAGCAGCAGCAGCCGCTGCTTCGGCAGGGTTCGCAGCTGCTGCTGCTGCTGCAACAACAGCAGCTCCCTAATCGCCTGCAGCACAGCAGCGGGAAGCTTCGCTCCCTCCAGCTCCTCATCTTCTGCTTCTGCTGTTGCTGCTGCTGCATGTTGGCGCTCGACAGCAGCAGCAACAGCAGCAGCTAGAGGCTCCGCCAACTCGCTGCTCAGCAGAGCAGCTAGCCGCTGCTGCGCTGATTCCACTTCGCTCGCAGCTAGCTGCTGCAGCTGCTGCCAGGTCAGCTGCAGCAGCACGTATTCATGCGTGTCTGCTGCTTCAGTTGCTGCTGCAGTTGCTGCTGCCGCTGCTGCAGATGCTGGAGCTGCTGCAGCAGCATCTGAGGCCTGCAGAGCAGCTGCGCGCGCTTGTGCTCTTGTGCGTGGCATCGTCCTACTGCTGCCGCTGCTGCTGCTGCTGCTGCCATTGCTGCTGCTGCCATCGCTGCTGTTGCTGGAGATGATGCGCAGCAGCAAACCGCTGGCTAGAGGCAGCAGCAGCTTCAGCAGAGCTGCGGAGTCCCACAGGCGCTGCAGCGGGGCGACGACGACCTGCTGCTGCCTTGGCAGCAGCAGCAGCAGCAGCATATAGTACGCTGCTGCACTGGAAGAAAGCTGCTTCTGCTGCTGCAGCTGCAGCTGCTGCAGCGGCTTCACGGGCAGCAGCGGTGACGCCAGCACTTCAGCAGCAAAGGCAGCGAAATTGGAGTTCGCATGCAGCAGCAGCTGTACATACAAACGCAAGCAGCAGCAGCACAGCTGAAGGGCTGCAGTTGCAGCAGCAGGTAGGTTTTACAGTGATGCTGCTGCTGTTGCTGCTGCAGCTTCTGCTGCTTACCTGCTGCGCCTCATCGCTGTTGCTACAGTCGCGCCACTCCGCAGACACCAGGCCCAGCGGCAGCAGCAGCTGCAGGATTTCCTGCGCTGCTGTTCCTGCGGGTTTGCTTTTGCTGCTGTTGCTGCTGCTGTTGCTGCTTTGGCTGCTGCTGCTGCGGTGAGCAGCAGCAAGTCTGTTCAGCTGCTTCAGCAGCGCCGCTGCAGCAAAACGAACAGACTCGACGGAAGACCCCAGCAGCACCACGCAGTTAGCAGCAAGAAGTGCAGCCACTTCTGCTGCTGCTGCTGCTGCTGAAGATGGGGGGGCCAGCAGCGGCGCTGCTGCTGCGGGAGCTGCTGCTGCAACAGGAGAAGAAATCAGCTCTAGCTGCAACTGCAGCGCAGCAACGCATGCATCGAGCAGCACTGCGGGCTGCTGCAGCGGCACCGCAGCATCCAACAATGAGGCCTGCTGCTGTTGCTGCTGCTGCTGTTGCTGCTGCGGTCTCTCCTCTTGCTTCTCGACCTCTTCAACTTCCTCTGCCAACTGTCCGCTGTTTGCCCGGCCCCGCTGCTGCTGCTGCTGCTGCTGGCCATTTGCAATGCGCGTATGCGCCGCTGCTGCTGCTGCAGCAAGAAACGACAGCAGCAGCACCGGCTGCTGCCCCAGGCAAGAGGTCACGAGAGCTAATGGCTGCGCGAATGCCTCAGCATCCGCTAGGCCCAGCAGCAGCAAGCCAAGTACGGCTGCCGCCTGCTGCTGCTGTTGCTGCTGCTGCCGTTGCTGCTGCTGTTGTTGTTGCTGCTGCTGCTGCAGCATTCCTGCCAGCTGCGACGCGTCGCCCGGCAAAAGCGCAGAGCCTAGGAAGCTGCAGAAGGAAGCAACTGCAGCACGGGCTAGAGCGCCTAAGCACTGTTGCTGCTGCCGCTGCTGCTGCAGCAGAAGCGGCTGCTCCTGCTGCTCCGCCACAAGAATAGCCTCGTAAGTCCGGCCTGCGTGCAGCACCAGCTGCTGCGCAGGGACCCCTGGGGGAAGTAGGGCGTTGTGTGCAGCAGCAGCAGCTGCTGCTGCGTCTGCTGCTGCTGCTGCTGGTGCCTTGCCAGACACCGTCGCCACTGCCGCTGCTCCTGCTGCTGCTGCAGCAGCAGGATGGCGGGCGCTGCTCGCAACAAACTCCAGCAGCGCAGCAGACAAGAGCCAGTGCAGGCCAACAGCTGTCCCTGCTGCAGCCCCCGCTGCTCCTGCTTCTGCTGCTTCTTCAGCTGCTGCTGCTGCTGGCAGCTGCAACGCAGCACTAGACGGTCCACAGAGGGCGAGCCAAGCCAGCCTGGTGCGGAG